TACAACTTGCAAGACTAAAATTTGCGCTATCTGTGCTGTACTAAATTATTAAGCATTTTACTATATAGCGTTGCTAGACTTAACAGCTTCTGTTCCGTCTGCCTGGCTCGGCCACTCTTCCACTGTAACGGCGCAGGCAAGACAATGGGTCCGAATGCGGTATGAATCCACTCAGAGGCATATGGGAGTGCGTGGGGACTCAGAGACCTGGGAATACCAATGACACCTATAGGCCTTGTACGTAGGATATCAGAAAACTACCGAGCTAGCTACAGGGGCAAGGTGCGACTAAATACATGAGGGAATAGGGGTAACTGCGGGGGGCTGGGTCAAGTCATGGTTAGGGCCGATACAGGGACCCTTCGGATAGGATCCGAGCGACCTAATATGGAACAATTTGTAGAATTGTTACACTACCCCCCCCTCTATAGGCTAATAGTCCCTATCTGCAGTGTTTAGAAAGTATTTAGAAATGCTTTAAAACTAATTTAGATAGGATATAATAAGTACAACTATCTTAACTAAAATTTCCTGTTACTAAGAAATAGACTAAAAACCTAATACTAATATAATGCCTTTATTGTAATGTTTTTGTTTAGTAGTAACTAGCAGTGTAGTTGTTATTAATATAGTAAATTTGTTGTTTATAGCAACAAGTGTTTGCTTGCCTTACCTATATAGTCTAGTTAATTTTGTTAGTTTCTTCTTTAGCTATTATCTAATTCTCCACCTTATAGGTATTGTCGTGCACCTAACATCCTATGGCTCGGTCTGCTAACTGATCATAGCATCAAAGAAAATCACCATGCCGCTCCGCCCCCCTATTTCTTGTACCCTAGGGATAGGGCAGTCGCTGGCAAAATGTCCTGGTTTTCCACAATTGTAACAGTTGCTAGGAGTCGTCTGTCTTTTAGGGGCAGGTGTCTAGCTGGGTTGTCAATAGGTAGCTAGGGTAGACTAGGGTACTGTTACGGTCTATAGTTGGACCAGCGTATCCCCACCAGCAGTGCTCCACAATCTAGCTGGATGGGGACAGGGCTCGCTTAAAGACCAGTCAGAGGACACGGAGGCAGCGCGGCTGCCTGACGTTGTGGAAGAATGCGTCGTCTAATAGGAAAGCAGGCTGCGAGTCTAGGGAGCTGAAGGGAGCTTGT